AGTCTTTATCTAAAATTATTTGAACGTCAAGCGCAGAGATTGAATATTGATCAAGAAAACTGGGTTTCTCATCTGTTAGGCTTGTTACCGACGGAAGTATCTCACATCATAGCGAGAGAGCCTGACGATAAAGCCAACTCTTACGAACACGTTAAAGATTTACTGCTGAAACGCTTTAAACTAACTCCAGAAAAGTTTCGACAACTATTTGTCACTCACCAAAAAGCACCTGAAAGAACATGGATTGATTTTTACCATGAGTTAAACACTTACTTCAACGGATGGATAGATGGATTGAAGATAGATACCTTTAACAAGTTATCAGATCTAATCATAACAGATCAACTCAAACGAAAAACTCCTTTTGAATTTAAAGAATATTATCTTGATGAATGGGCAAATATGAACTCCCCTGTTCAATTAGCAGAAAAACTAGAAGAATTCGAAGACTTTAAAAGGACTCTGAAACAAAAATCTAGCAGTCCATTTGTGAAGAAACAAGAATTCAGATTCACAGAAAAGAATCGCAGATATGAAGCACCAGGAAAATTCGAGTATAACAGGAAAGGTAAGGAGTTTCCAGCGTCAACGAATTACAACAAACATTACGAAGCCCCTGTTACCAAGTACGAATCTTTTCAAAGATATCAAGACAGCGCGCAGAAAGGGTATTACAACAAAAAATTACGAGAAACACTCAAATCACAATGCTTCCAAGCATATGCTCAGACGAACTATTCAAAATCGCAGAAATTCAAAGAACCTCCAAAAGAAACTAGCACACTCATCGTTAAGGAAGGTTTACGTACTAAAGAGATATTTTTGAAAGGTGAAAATCACGGCGCTCATAGACAGTGGTAGTACCGTAAGTTTGCTTCGAGAAAACACGAGCAGAAGAATAATGGATCCAACAAAATTATCGAAGAACAAGATGCTTCTCACAGGTATTGGTGAAGCACAAGTGACAACTATCGGTTCCTTTGAACATAAGTTCAAAATAGATGATGAAAATTACTCGTTAACTTGGCATGTTGTACCGACTGATAAATTAAAATTCGAAGCAGTTATTGAATCAGATCTTTTGGAACAAGCATCGATAAGTTTTACTAAAGAAGGAGTTAAATTCAACAAATATGAGAATCATGCACAGCTTATGCAAATATCTGCTGAAAATCTTCAAGAAGAACTAGACCTACGTCATGTTGAAAATCGTCAAATCAAGAAGGAACTTGAAAAGTTAATTCAAGACTACAAGCCAGAAAAAAAACAGCATCTACTGACGTCACAATGAGAATTATTCTAAAAGACGAAGAACCAGTCTGTCAACACCCTCGTCGACTAGCTTTCACAGACAGACAAGAAGTAAACAAACAGATAGAAGAATGGCTCAACGAAGGCATTATACGTCCGAGTTCTTCAGAATATGCAAGTCCAATCGTAATGGTAAAAAAGAAAGATGGATCTTCGAGAATGTGCATTGACTACAGAAAATTGAATCAGAAGCTTGTGAAAGATAAATTTCCGTTACCTATCATCGAAGATGTTTTAGACACTTTGCAAGAAGCAAAGGTATATTCTACATTAGATTTACGCAATGGTTTCTTTCACGTCGATGTTGACGAAGATTGCAGAAAGTATACATCCTTTATCGTCCCAGATGGACAATTTGAATTCAACAAAGTTCCTTTCGGACTAAGCACAAGTCCAGGAGTTTTCCAACGCTACGTATCAATTATATTTAGAGATCTTACTCGGAAAGGAATTATAATCAGTTATTTAGATGATCTCGTCATTCCAGTGAAAAACGAACAGGAAGGTCTCGAAAAACTTAAAATTATTTTTTAAGTCGCAAAGAAATACGGATTGGAAATTAAGTTCAAGAAGTGCCAATTCTTAAAAAAGAAAATTGAATTTCTAGGTCACATTGTAGAAAGCGGAACTATTAAACCATCTCCCACGAAGACACTAGCTGTCCGAAAATTTCCAGAACCAACAACAATAAAACAAGTACTAAGTTTTCTTGGTTTAACTGGATAATTCCGCAAGTACATCAAAGATTATTCAAAGATAGCTAAGCCACTTAGCGATTTAACAAGAAAAGAAAACCTCTTTGTTTTTTGTTTTTTTTTTTTTGGGACTCAACAAAAAGAAGCATTTGAAAAATTGAAGAAAATCATGTCCGAAGGCCCAATCTTGCACCTTTACAAGTATGGAAGAAAAACAGAACTGCATACAGACGCATGTAAACAAGAGTACGGCGCAATTTTGTTACAAGAAGCAGAAGATGGAAAGTTACATCCCGTTTACTACATGTCGAAAAAGACAAATACAGCAGAAGAAAAGTATGACAGCTACGAATTAGAGGTACTAGCAATTATCAACGCATTAAAGAAGTTTCGTGTTTATCTTTTAGGACAACACTTTAAAATAGTAACTGACTGTTCAGCATTTCAGAAGACTATGCAAAAAAAGGATCTAATTACTCGCATAGCCAGATGGGCGCTTCAATTAGAAGAATTCGATTATGAAATAGAGCACAGAGCTGGAAGTCGTATGAAGCATGTTGATGCTCTTAGCCGATATCCCGTAATGATAGTATGCAATGATACATTAACTTCAAAGCTTAAAAAAGCACAAGAGGAAGATGACAGCATCCAAACATTGAAATCACTTCTAGAGAAGCAAGAATCAGAAGAATTTTTTGAGCGAAATGGTATACTCTACAAGTACTTAAATGGTCGAGAATTAATTGTAACCCCTAAAGCAATGCAAGCTGAACTAATTAAATTGATTCGCGAAAATGGTCATTTCTCAGTAGGAAAAACAGAAGAAATTGTGACACAGGAATTTTTTTATCCCAAATTTATCCAACGTCGTTAAAAAAGTAATAGTTAATTGTGTTCCATGTATCTTAGCTAATAAGAAAACTGGCAAAAGGAAGGGGTTTTGAATCCTATTTCTAAGGAAAGCATTCCTTTAAGTACGTACCATGTTGACTTCATTGGTCCTTTACCCTCCACAAACAAAAGTTATCAACACATTTTCACCGTAGTAGACGCATTTACCAAATTTACTTGGCTATATTCCGTCAAAACTGTGTCTGCTGAAAGTGCCCTCGAAAAACTAAAACAACAGCAGAAAACCTTTGGTAATCCCATCAGAATTATCTCTGATAGAGGTTCAGCGTTCACTTCAAAATTATTCAACGACTACTGTGATGAAGAGAACATTCAACATCTACAAATAGCAACAGGTGTTTCTCGAGGAAACGGACAAGTTGAACGAATTCATCGAACTTTGATTCCAGTTCTCACCAAACTATCATTAGACGACTCAACGAAATAGTACAAATACGTCGACAGATTACAGAGAATACTAAATAGTACTATAAGTCGCAGTACAAAATGGACACCATTCGAACTATTAGTGGGAATCAAAATGCGTAACAAGGAAGACATCCTAATCAAAGACTTACTTTTAGAAGAAAGGGCAAATGAATTACTAGAACAACGCGAATTTTTAAGAAACGATGCAAAAAAGAACATCGAAACCCTGCAGTCTGAAAATAGAAAGACGTATAACAGAAGAAGAAAGAAAGCTTCGTTATACAAAGAAGGTGATTTAGTAGCCATCCAAAGAACCCAATTTGGGAGCTGGACTGAAACTAAGACCAAAGTTCTTAGGCCGTTACAAAGTAACAAAAGTTAATTCTAAAGATAGGTATGAAGTGGAAAAGGTTGGTCAGCACGAAGGACCGAACTCAACCACCACCTCAGCTGATTTGATGAAACATTTTTATGCTTGATTGAATTTTTTTTATTTATTATTTTTAATTTTTCTCATATCCCTCTTGAGAAATTAATAGATGTTCTATGGTAACACTCGTTTCCATTAATAATTTTATATTCACTAGTAACATTTATTATATTTTCGTATTATTCATTATCTTTCTATTGATGTGAAGGATTTTTTTTTATGGTTTAGTTAATTGTAGATCACAACATAGAATATTTTGTTTTTATATGCTTTATTTTAGCTCCGGAATTGTGAATATTAGGTATACATATTTTCATCTGTAATATTTTATTTTATTATCTTTAAGAATTGTATTATTTGTCTTTATTGCGTCCACATTCCAATAATCATCAAATTTATAGTCGTAACTAAAAATAGTTTGTATTTAAAGTACTTTAGCTCTCAACATTTTGTAAGAGCTGAGAGACCAGCTCTGTCAAGAGAGGGTGATTTTGTAAGATTTTCCTTTGAAACATTTTGTTAAAAGGTTGAGTCATATCCTTTTCAGAGGACCATAAATCTGAATTTTATTTATTACTGCATTCCGAAGCAGCGCCATCTAGTGAGCTTTCGTAGCTCCGGCTTGAATAATTTTTCGGCAGAGGCCTACTAACCACTGCTTGTTCAACACGTCACGTCTTTACCGCATTTCCGCGCCCTGCGCGGTTCTACCAGTCCTAACATCCAAGAATGAGAAAGGTTTATTTCCCCGTCTTCTAAAGGTATAACTCAACTTTTAATTAACCTAATTCCTGCATGTCTTTCTCTTTGTAAATATCCCCTTTTGTAAATATTTCCCTTTAACTTTAAATAAATTCTTTTTTACTTAAATGAAGTATCTGTGTTTAAATGACTTTGATTCAATTAATTCATCACTCACCCTTAAATACTTACCCCTAGACAAACCACCTCGCCAATATAAAATCCCGCCTTCTGAAGAGTCTGATTTTTATTCGAAGATTTATTCGGACTCTCCCACATATATATATATATATCTCAAATTTTCAATCATTGATAAAATACTTTCTATTCATCCATTCAAGTTCCAAAATACATTTTTTTAAATAAATTTGTAGTGCATGACACTTGATGAGAATACATTTTTTTCAAATATTAATTCATTGATTATATTAAAAAATGAATAAATAGTAACAAACAAAAATAATAGCCCAATAGCATATATAGAAAGGAAAGTCGTTCGTTGTGTCCCTGCAGCGCAATGGACAGTGCGTTGGAATTTTAATCCAAAGGTCGTAGGATCGAATCCCACCTGGGATGGCCTGATTTCTGAGAATGCAATTTCTTTTTTACTAAACCATTTTATTAAAATAATTATAAATTTAATTAATAAATAGCAATAAATAAAAACAAAAAATAGACCACACCCACACAATACCCTATATAGAAAGGAAAATGAAAAATTGCAAGGAAAATCGCTTTCTATTTTGTCACTTAATATTGTGATTATGTCATAAGTATATACATATATTTATATTAATTGTAACTATTTAATAAAAAATAAGTAAAATACAATTTTTCTTTGTTGACCAGAAAGTAGAAATTTACTTAATTTTTTTTTCTTTTACATATTACTTGTTTAATTGTCTTTACATAAAGAACCTGTAACATATTGATTTACTTTAAATATTATTTTAAGATATATTCTAAGAATTTGGGGAAGGAGTGAGAATATGGAGTTCACCCAAAACACCTTATAATTCTAAGGGTCTCGTGAATTGAAAAAGTTCGAATACCACTGACTTGTACCACCAACACCAACAAAAAGGAATTTTAATCATATCGATGTTTTAGAGTTGAAAATGCCCTCGAAATCAAAACCAAGTACTGAAAAAAAATCTTTCACTTAATGTCTTTATTAATATCAGTGTTTTTAATAGAGGTTGCTTCTCATGGATCAGATGGATCTCAAAATTCTTTCTGATTTTAATATATAGCTATTATATTCTAAACTATATCTCTGAGGAATTTAAATAAATTTCCGTAAAATTTCGCAGTTAAAATCATGGGGATTTTTTATATTTTTTAGGGGATAGGGGATTCGCCAATGGGGTCGATTCATCACCAGAGTGCGCTGTGATCGTTTAGCGATTACCACGTGATTATCAAATAAGCAATAACAGCTAATCATATTACACTTGTGGTTGTGTTCTAACCGTCAATTTCGATTATATATATTCAAATTTTATATTCTTTAAATCTTTTTAGTATTCTAAATATTTTTGATATATTTCTTAGTCTTTTGCTTTTCGTATAGTTATTAAATATGTATATAGTTTTAGTTTACAGTATTAGATTTAAGCTTAGTTTATACTTCTGTTCTTTGACCTCGTGTCTTGCATTTTTGTTTTCTTTTAGGCTTAGTAATTAGTTTGTAGCCACATTGTGTTTTAAAAAATTATAGATAGTTCATTTGAACAAAATTATTTATACTTAAAATTTAAGTGTTAAAGTGTAGAACAGGGGGGGGGAGGCTTGGCGATGTCAATTTTTTTTAGCGACCAAAACCGATCGCCACGCAACTTAATTTAATGATTGGTGTTTTGGGTGACTTGAATCGATAACCAAGCAACATAATTTAGTGATAGGTGTTCCGAGTATTTACGAATTGTAATTTTGCAATAACAATAAAGAAATATGAATGTGAAATTTGGGAAAAAATATTAATAAAAAGAGTAATGCACATAAAAATAAAATTCTAATTTTTTTCTTTAAGTTAAAGGAATGAAAAGATTTTTCATTTTGTTACATGATAGTAGATGCAAATCCGAAAATACCGCCAAAATACTCAGTCGAATGAAACACGCGGTGATTTGTTGAGCGTGCTATCTATTATATGATTATGACGTCAGAGGAATCGAGTCCATTTTTAAAAAATTAAATGCTAAAGGATGGAAGCGCAAGCGCACAGAATATGTAGTGATACAGGAGAAATAAAATAAATAAATAAATGAATCAAAATAATTGTAAATAACAGCAAATAAATAAATGCTGCAGACGCCGCATAAATCACTCAAGTGAACTACAGGCTTAAATGAACATTATTAAAGTTTAAACATAGCAATGATTTATTCCGTTGAAATCAGCTTAAATCTTAGCATTGCTAATAACTTGCAAATGTAAACACAAGAATCTACCTGCAACTGAGTAATACAACATTGCCATACACAGAAAAGAAAAACAGAAACAGAAACTTAACTAGAAATTATTGGTGAGGTAGTAGCTACATTTATATATAAGTATTGATATTAACTATTTTACAATCTCTAACAATAATACTTTGAAAAGCTTTAATGAAAGTGGTCAGTTTTGGAATTTCCTTTAAGAACCTTTCACACACTTAAAAAAAGGTAAGCTACTCGATAGCGAGTCTACATCAATTAATGGTCTCGTCAAATTTGAAATGTTTTAACTAAATATGTAAGGCTTCAGTACAGAACCACAAAGAAAAAGCAATTGTTAAATTGCATTAAAATTTCCATATTTTGAAAGTACATTGGAAATTTAAATAGGAATTGGGTGTAGAGATGAAGTTAAAAATCATAATCAAGGACCAAATTGGATGAAAAGAAATTGAAAGCCATTGGTACAATTATAAACAATGAATATTTGTGACGAATCTTTACGGCACTTTTCCACTAATACTCTTAGGCGTCTTTGGGGATTGTAAATTCGCGTATATTTCCAACCACCTCTAAAAGAAGAAAATGGGATATGCAAATCGGATAGGGTATTAAGGAGAGCGTTGTGAGTTAGCTTTGAGAAGGCGATTGAGCCAGGAGCAGTAGTGACGAGATTAGGAAGATTTAAGTGGATTAAGAGATTAGAGTATTGCTGTTATTATTCAGCGAAGTAGCCTTAGATAGATTAATCTTAATCTACATTACAGCCAGGTGATATATTCTAACTTAGTCTATCTGACCATAAATGTTAATGTATAATAAAGTTAGTTAACTTAACTTTAATGAATGTTAATAATTCAAGTTGCGTATATTTCTCGGACCTTCTATTCCGGTAAATCCGTTCGATATTGAGTTTAGTAATTGATTAATTTCATATTTCGCTGTTGTTGTTGTTTTCTAATGCCACCTGTCTGACGTAGTCAGATCGAGGCCCACGAAATTCATCGTGGCATGGGCAAGAGGTACGCCTGTCATTGGGCTTGATCACCATCTCTACCTCCACAATTTCTGCATGCAAACTGAAGGGGAGGGAAATATTCTCCAGTCCCTGCGCTCGTGATTAAGCCCACAAGAGACTACGGACCCACTGATTTAACGAGCACGTACTCCGCGTGTACTCGGAGGTTGTTTGGTGGCATCGAACCCAGGCCTTTCGGTCTGGAGTCCGATGCTCTAACCACTAGGCTACCCACGGCCATTTTTCGTAGTTTAATTTAATAGTAAAGGTAAATCTCTTTGACATAGACATATTGCTAAATATTTGTAATTAGAAGGTTGATATTTGAACTAAGTGAATAAATATAATTTGTTATTATACAAATGGAGTCTGGTCATTCTTTGCCTCAAGTTAATCTTAGTGTCCAGGGTAGAACCCAGGGGAGTTCTCACATATTTTTAAAATATTTTTATTGGAATGAAGTGGTATAGTATTTTTTACTGTTAAATATTAACCCATGAATCACGTTTAAAAATAATAAAGTTGGTAAATTATTTGCTATTGGAAAGATTTAAATATTTTCACATATCTCTATATAAGGAGCTAATTTAGAATTGCTCCTAATTCAGATTTTTAAATCGTATCCAGCATTCGATTTGCTGTAGATTTAAAATTATTTCTGTGTACTTAATGTTGACTTTTGAAACAACTTTAAAATATAGATTTAGGGGATATATTTTTATCTTATATACCAAAAAGAATATCAACATAACCAAATTTGTCTAATGCGCCGTAAAACTCATTCCCTCACACCAGAAAAATATAATTCTTAGATAGTTAAATTATTGCAAATGTGTAAACAAGGAATACATAATGAATAAAAAGGAAACCAATTAAGTGTATAAACTGCATAAATAAGAATATTGATAAAAACCTCGGGAATCTGAAAAAATATGGGTTTCATCATTTGCAAATTTCAGCTAATTAAAAATTCATACCACATTCTTTTGTTCATTTTTGAAAGCATGGATCGCGTTTGACTGTGTGTTCCACAAATATACGTAGGAGAATAAATAAGACTGTACAGTTTTGCTGCAAAGATTTAATGCCCTACGCTTCTTTGTGAACACCGACATTTAATGAGCAGGACACAAAAAAGATATACGTGTTTGAAGAGAAAAGATGAAAATGTAGAAAACGTCGCAATACTCTGGACCACCATGCTCTGAATGCTTGCATTTATTCTTTGCACGAGGCATAGTTTTGAACAGTAAGGAAAGAAGTAAACTTAGGAAGACAATAAATCCAAATTTTGAAATCAATGCGTTTGACATCTTCAGAGCCCACCCAGATGTGTATTTCATAACAAAGATTTTTCCTTTTATGAATGGAGGACTTCATTTTTAGCGATCAAATATATTTGGAATAATTAAACTTCCTTTGATGAAATGAAACTATATAAGGAAATTAAAATTCAGTTGAATAGAAGTTTCTGATTAACAAGTAATATATATATATAAAAAAAATTTTTTTAAGTCAATTCCTACTTAGATCAACAAAGAAATTTTTTATTTTAGCTACTTTTTATTAAATAGTTACAATTAATATAAATATGTAAATACATATGACATAATCACAACATTAAATGGTAATTAATTTTTATTAATTATCATTAAAGTTCTTATTGTCATCCAAAACAATTGTATACGTAAAATTTCAGTTCAACTGAATGCTTTAAAACGTGAGAAAAAAAAATCTTTTAAAGTTTTGACCCAAGTCGCTAAAAATGAAACCAACGTGGCTGTATCTATAATTCTTTAAATAGTTAGTTTCAGTCAATTAATTTTAAGTAATTATAAATAAATTATCGTATTTTTACCCCAAACAATAGTGTATAGAAAATTTCAGCTCAAATGAGCGCTTTAAAATGTGAGAAAAAAACCTTTTAAAGTTTTGACACATGTGGGTAAAAATGATGCCAACGCGGCTGTATTTGTAATTCTTTCAATAATTAGTTTTAATCAATTAATTTTTATTAATTATAATTACATTATTGTATTGTAATCCAAAATAATCATGTATAAAAATTTCAGCTCAATTGAGCGCTTTAAAACGTATTTCATTAACGATTGAAGATCCCA